AGTTTTTTGGGTTCATTGAGAACATGGTTGTTGTTCAATAATAAAATTATTCCTCAAAAATACAACTTGCCTAATAATTCTGCACTCCCTGTATACACTGTATGTACATGGATGCAGTGTTATAGCTTCTCTTTTTTGTACAAAGCAAAGCCTAAATACCTCACACACATGAGCTGGTGATGATTTACAACCAGAGCGACTGGGAGTGGTCCAAACATACTATCCTTGCACATTTACATCCACTTGCTTACCCTGGCATCAATCATTCCATGAACATTATGTGAATTTATTACAATACCAAAGTAAAATGGCCATCTCTCACCTTCTGACGTGCTTGGCCAGGGTTTTCTTGCTGGCATGGAGTTTGTTGCAGAAGGGACATTTGTGCTCCTTTTTCTGGAACGGGACGTCGCTGGCGTGCTTCTTCTTGTGTACAGTCAGGTTAGACTTGGTGGAGTAACGCTGCAGACAGATGTCACACTGGAAAGGTTTCTCGCCTGTGTGCACTCGAGTGTGGCTCTCATATTTCCCTGGAAATATGATTTATACTGTATTAGGAACACATCTGGGTCATAAGATAAACACACACTACAGACGTACCACTACAAGAAAAAAACCCTTTACACTTACAATACAAACACAGCAATGCCTTTTAGAGGCACTCTCTAAAGACACTTTAGAGGCCACAAAAAAATCTATTTATAAACAATGGCCATGTAAGTTTGGATTTTTTTCCCTTTAATAATAAGCACCTTCATTTAGAAACTCTTGTATTTACTTGTGTTATCTTTGTCTAATATTTACATTTGTTTAATGATCTGAAACATTTAAGTGTGACAAACATACCAAAAAACAGGAAATCAGTAAGGGGTTAAATCAGTTGAATAGTCTTCCACACTAGTTGTGTTATCATAAATCCTGCTTTCCTTGGTTAAACAGAATCTAATATTAAACACTTGCTGAACATTACAAACTTACTGTATTATAAATATTATGAAACAGAAGGAACCATGGTCAGGAGATGAGACTCGTATGAAAATGTAGACAAAAAAGAAGACCCTTCGTATGACATAACTTGTTTTACTGTCTAACAGGTTAACCGTGTTAATGGTGTATTTTTTTTTTTTTTTTACCCATGAAATTATGGGGGGTGAAATGCTGCAATAAAATTTAAAAAGTGCAAACTACAACTCAACTCTATTAACTTTTAGGGTTACAAAGCGCTGATAAATAAACAAAAAGTTTTACAAAATCAATTTTGACTGATCTTCTATGGAATGGCCCTCAAATCTTAGGCTGTGGTAATTCATGATGAGCATTTATAGCTATTATATGTGTGTGCCGACCAAACACTGAATGACATTACAAAAAATAATTATCTCTGGTCTTATCTGTTAACCCTGTAAGATAAGAATAACACTAATAATCTAGATCTTATTCCGTGGTTCCCACCTGCACGGTCAAACGTCTTTTCACATTTGGGGCACTTGAGGATCTTCTTGCTGGAGTTCTGTATGATGACTGGAGCCAGACCTTCAGGATACACTGGACTCTGGTTAGAGCTTCCTGCTGCTGCTCCAACATGCATCTCCACCCTGTCAGCAGCCTGCTGCTCTGTCCTCTGTAGATCTGAATTCTGCAGATCTGCACGGCTCTCTGCCTCATCAGCTGTCTCAGCAATAATAGCGGCATTTGCGTCTCCTCTCTCTTCCTCCTCCTCTTCCATATCCATTACATCGTCACCCTGAACTGGTTTAGATGCCTTGTTCACATCCAGCTTGGCTGTCACATTCACTTCCCCTTTTCCTTCCAGTCTGTTTTTGTTGTGCTGCCTTGATGATGCAGTGTTTTGTTTTTCCTTGGGAGCACTGCTACAGTACTCACCATCATTTCTTTTATACTTAGTAGGTGTTCTCCTCCTACGAGCTGATCTCCGTGTGGTAGCACTTCCCTGACCTGTCGTCTTTTCTTCCTCATTTGAGGCCTCCTGATGTACATCAGTGTGTACACTCTCAGCCAATTGACCCTGATTGGAGTTATCATGACCGAACAGGTTTCCTTGAACATCAGCTGGACTGTGGATCTCTGTATCAGCTCCTGGCGAGTTGTTGGAGGTAGTTTCCACTTTATGAGAAGCTATTGTCTCAACCTGGGTTTGTATTACACTTACAGGTTGTACTTCACCGTCTTTACATAACAGCTTTAATATATCCATCATGTCCAGGAATCGGGCCGCTTCAGTTAGAGCTGGGAGTGCTGTCTCTGCAACAACACACTCAGCGGTGTACAAGAAGCTGAGCAGGTGCTGGAAAACAGAGTCCTCCACGTGCTCCAGAGTCACATGAGTTTTAGCAGAAGGATTCTTGGACAGCTCAGCATGGAAATAGCTGCTCCCATGGGCCAAAACCACCTTGTGGGCACTGTAGGTCTTCCCACCTACAGACACAAACACATCGCAGAACTTCTGCCGGCTCCGGTCCTCATTCAAGAAATTGAGGAGGTTGTTACTGTGCTGTGACATGATCAGATGTCTCATTTGTGGGGCTGACTCCTGTAACGTTTCAGAGTTTGTTGGGATGTTGGATGGAGGTACACCGTCACCACTGGCACTGGCCTGCCTGCCACGTCTGGGACGGAGCATAGTGCTAGGCTTTTTCGTCATTAATGTGTCTGCAGGTCTACAAGGAATCCCTCCTGGAGAGAAGAGGAATGTCATCAGAGCTGGGACTGAACATGTATAGCTGCTGACTACTTGGTTTTTTATTCAGATTTCACAGGAGCATGTTTGTCAAGAGGTTGCACAAATGGTTTGGTATGTAAGTGCAACACAGTGCAGCAAAGCTGACTGTAAAAGGAGACTGTAGTCATACATATGCATAATCACACATAAAAAGATGCTAAGAGATTTTTCGTGCTAATGCGAAACACAAAACTGCTATTCGTTATAAACAATGCATTCAACACAATAAAGGCCTCAGTGGCCTTAAATGTGAAATTAAGCTAACTTAACTCTGCTGCTAATCTAAATTGTTAACTGCCAGGACAGGGGCATTTACATATTCGCTCCCCACCTCAAGGACCCCTAACATTGTGTTATCGGAGTGACGGGTGGGCCCCCCTCCGAGGAGAGTGTTGACAAACGACCTCTGATGTTACCCTGCAAACTATCATTTCATACGCACTCGTATTTTAACCAAACGTCTTACCTAAGAGTTGCGGGACACGTTTACAAGGGACCGCGTACCCCCAGCTTGAATAAGAAATGTGAGAAATAAACGAAGGAATAATAATTTCCTGGATATCTGTAACGCCCCACCAGACACCGAAACAAGCCGTTTGCTCATTGGCTGCTTCAGCTTTTGTTCTCTAACGGTCCATTTTTATCCGCGTAAACACAAGCAGCAGAGAAATAAACCTCAACAATTACGACAGTTCATGCCCGTGTTACTTCATTTTCTATTTAATACATGAAAAGTCAAAGACGAAATAAACAAAGGCTGGGGTGTTTTTTGTCGATTATCATCGTGAGCTCATAACACGACGGCATCATGGGTAATGTAGTTCAACGGCTTATGGCATACTGGCTTTCTTTTTTTTCGACTTTCCAACTACATTTATCTGACAGCTAACATTTAAGATTTTTTTTAAACCGTTGACAGCATATAAATGCAGTATTTTGTTTTTAAAAATGTAAAATTCCCAGCCAATTGCAACAATAATATAATATAAAGTAATATTGGAGGAATCGTGGTGAGATGGTCGGCACTGTTGACCCACAGCAAGAAGGCCCCTGGATGTGAATCCACGATTAGGCTGTGGCCCCTCCAGGTGGAAGAATTTACAGAGTCACCCACCTCCTGCAGGGCAATTTGGTTGTAGTGTATATTTAAATTTGAAGTACATTGTTAGCACTGTACTTCTGAATTCACTAAAGTGAATGCATGGCAATATGGTGTATATTAGCAATATTTTCAATGAATGAGTTTAAGGGTTCAAAACCCTCATCATAGGGTGGAGTCCTAGGTTTATCAGCCTGAGCCAGACCAATGGTAAAATAAGCAACACAAACAGAGCATCAAGCTCATTAGTTGTACCAGAGACCAAAGTGAATGCTCTTAGAGTTAAATGAATTGTGGTTACGTCAGAGGCATTTAAATGACAAAGATGCTTCCCAGATTAGAAACACTGGCCTCAGTTTGCCTCATTCAAAGACTGGAGCCTTGATCCAACCCACTGCAGCCAAACTGCACTCAACCTGCAGTGCATGTGTGTGCACGTGCACACATCCATTTGCGTTAGTGTCCATGTTTCAGGACATGTGCATAAAAGTGAATGGAAGGACTGCTTATCTCTACATAAACTTAATTCTCAAACTGAATTTCAGTTGTGCCCAAACTCTGGCACCTCTGGCATCGCCATCCCTTACATAAGAGGACATTAGAGTTCTGTCCAGGGAACATGCTTGAAGTTGTTCAGATTAGCCTCTTGGGTGCACCCCTCCCTTCCCCAACACGTTTAACGTGTAAGACATTGTAAGTGCATTAGCTTAATCCCTCCTATCTGGCGTGCAGCGATCCATGCATTTCAGTGAACGCACACAAACAGTGAGGACAGGCAGTGAAGATGGAGGTGCACATGCAAGTATTTTCACCTGTGTTTGATCCAAAATAACAAACCTGCCAAATATTGAACAGTTTGTAGGATTGTAAGGGACAATGTTGAGATTCAGCGTGTATTTGTGCATGCTGTGGTTGCTTTTTGCAGGTAAATATAACTTGTGTGTTGTTGTCACAGGTCAATATTAGAGTCATTAGTATGTTTTTCTGCTCTCGTTCTCACCTCGTCATTGGCATATTTGAAGTGAAGTGAAGTGTACTGAAGTTTGTACAGCTGATTTTTTTTTGTATGTTTAAAATTAATTCATTTGTGTAGATGCCTTACGTGCCTCTCTGTTTACACAAATATATGTATAAAAAGTTATAATGAACTGTAATCTGCTCTCTAGACACCGTCTCCAGCGAGGACATCAGTGGATGTGAACAGCAGCCATGCCAAAACGGTGGTGTATGTGAGAGCCACAATGGAGGATTCAGATGCCTTTGCGCCTCTCAGAGCCAAAACGGGCAGCTGTATGGTGGACAGAATTGCACAGTTGCACTTACAGGCTGTAATGAGAACCAGTGTGAGAATGGAGGAGTGTGTTCTCCCTTATTTGTGAACGATCACCACAGTTACACATGCATCTGCCCTGCTGGCTTCACGAGCCCTAAATGCCAGACTCCTACTGTTTTCTCATTTGAGTCCAGAGGCTATGTGTACATACAGACGCCGCTCCTAGACCAAGAAGCTCCTCTTAACGTCACCTTCAGCTTCAGGACGGAACAACCGGTTGGCACCCTCTTACAACGCAGGGTGGACGATCTGCTCTTCAGCATCGAGCTGATGCACGGGCATCTCTGCCTCCTCAGCCTGAGAGGCCAAGGCTCCAGCACATTGGTTCAAGAGCTTCCAGGATATTTGTCTGACAGCAAGTGGCACACAGTGGAAGCATCTCTGGGTGGCGTGGTCAGTCTCATCAGGCTGCTATGCACTGAAGGAAGCTGCACCAGAGAGTCCAATGCTGAAGTCCAGCTGCTTGAACAGGCCTCCTCTCTCCCTGAGCCCGGAGCAGTTCGTCACAGCCTCTTCATTGGAGCAATCAGTGGGAACTGGACACTGGGCAGGGCAGTGGAGGAAGCAGACTACCCTCCTGCTTTTCTGGGCTGCTTCAGAGATGTGTTTGTAGACTCACGGCTGTTATTGCCGGTTATAGCGCCAGAAGGTTCACGCATCCAGGCGAACATCACTGTGGGGTGCAGCGACAAAGACAAGTGTGACGACAGCCCGTGTCAGAACCGAGGCCGCTGTGTTAGCCAAGGCTGGCGGGGTTACCTTTGTGAGTGCCACAGGCCATATGAGGGAAACAACTGTGCAGAGGGTAAGACTTACATATACATTAACATCATTGCAAGCTGTGTAAATTTTTAAATTAGATTCTCAAATAAACTCAAATTGCTTGCTAGTTCCCAGTTTTTCTTCCTATTTGTTCCGCCATCCACAAAAACCTTGTCTGTCCCCGCCTACTGTTCAGGGCTTCTCCTGTGTTTGTTTCCTTACCTGCAACATTAAATACTGCATAAAGTCATGGCATTAAAAAGCTCTGCATCCAGTGTTTTGTTGACCTGTCTCTCCATCCCAGCCTCCTCCCTACATAGTCTTTTTATTTCTTTAGGTACAGAACCTCAAAAAACAAATTTTCTTTCCCACAATGAAACACAGCAATGGAGGTCCTCTAACAAATGGCTGTTTCAGTCTGAGGTTATAACTTTTAAAAAATATGTAGGTTTTGTGAGCAACAATAGATGTGGTGCGATTTCCATTGAACCACATCCATTAGCGCTAACCTGATCTCTGTTAGGTAACATTTCTGAATCCTGAATAACATTTAATTTAGCTGATGACAAATTATTGGAGATACCCTTTAAATATAGGTGCACTGGTTCAAGTTCAAGCTCAGCCTGAGTCGCCTTGCTGCTCAAGTGTCAGTGGTGAGCTGTGAAGAGAAGCACCCTGCAGGATAAAATTAGTCGGCAGACGTTAAAGGAGCTTACGGAGCTGGTAGAAATAGCAGACTGTCAAGTCAAACAGCCATGCTTTTAGAACATACACCTGCATCGAGGATTAAAAAAACGTGGTGTTCAGTAATTGACCGGGAATGCCTTCAGTTTGCCAGATCAGGGAGTCTTATGGACTTGTGTCTTCTTTGGTTGCCAAACTGAGGAGCTCCTCCTTGTAATGACCTGCGAGCCTTCTTCACTGTAAAAACCTTTTACTGAAACAATAACTCGTTTAGTTCCCATAACACTGACAACTGTACAATAATCATGGCATTGTTTTGCTTAAAAATGAGATTAGAGACTATTTGGTGTTAGATAGGACGATACATCTTTTTATCACTTACATAAAGACTGGAGATGCTGCACATTTTTGATTTTACTGGGATTGTACATGTAAGACTTTACTGCTCCTGTTAAGTAAATTATGAATTTCTCTCTTTCTCGTGCTTATACAGAGTACATCACAGCCAGGTTTGGAAACAAAGACCTCGAGAGCTATGCTGTGTTCTCATTGGATGATGACCCAGGTGATACTGTGATCATATCCATGTTCATCCGCACCAGACAGTCCAGTGGTCTGCTCCTTATCATGACTAACAGCACAAGCCAGTACCTCCGCCTGTGGCTGGAAGCGGGTATGATCAAAGTTCAGGTCAACAACTTTGAGACCCTGGTCGGTCGGGCTGTGATCAATGACGGCCATTTCCACCTGGTGACTCTGAAACTGGAAGGAGTGGTAGCCACCTTGTTCCAGTCAGCCCAAAGCCAGGGCTTTATACCCATCAGGCTCATCCAGGTCCATCCTGGGGATATGGTTTATGTCGGGGGGCTACCAGACTCAAGGGCATCGGCTTCTTTTGGCGGGTACTTCAAGGGCTGCATCCAGGATCTGAGGATTAACAACAAAAGACTGCAGTTCTATCCAATATCAACTCAGGTAGAATCGTACAACCTGGAACAACTCATCAGCATTGCAGAAGGATGCAGCAGTGACAACGCCTGTGCTGTGAGTTATGGCAGTGCTGCCATATCGATAACGCTGTTGTGCATGAGCTGCTACCCCTTGCGACCCTGGTGTCTGCACTAACACTGAAAGAGTGCTTTATA